GGTCAAAGGCCATGAGTTGTGATCCTTGACCCGTTTCCACTCAAATTAGACTATTAATTCGTCAAAAACGGACAAACCCAAAGTTATCATGAAATCATTATTTTGCCTTGTGATCCCACTTCATCATAAATTCTAACTCCTTATGCACTTCATCACTTTTTATCCTGCCAATTCATTCCTAGACCTACATATAAATACCAGAACGTCTCTAAACGTCTTTTCTTAAGGTTGAATATTGATAAAACATTGGTTGCTTCATAATCTCTTCATACATAGCTTTCAACCTTCATTGTTTGCTGTGTCCAAAGCATTGAAAACACCAAACTTACAATTCAAATATCAAATTGCTACTTCATATACATCTGTCGGAGTGCTGAAAATCAAGGGAAGGTGACTAGAGTTCCAGTTGGTGGAGAACGCGGAGTTCTTCTTTTATCCACAGGAGATAGAGGAATTCATAAAGTTGGGAGTTAGTACAGGGGCACGCAATCCAAGAGGGCTTTGAAAAACTGCAGCTAGGAGTTGGTGCAGGAACATCTAATCCAAGAGGGTTGTGAGAATTGTAGTCAGGAGATCAGAAAGTACTAGTGGTAGTCGAGTTTGGCGAACTGTAAGTTCTAATTTGTTTATAGTGGATTGTTGACTGGCAAAGTGTCCGGACTTTTTACCTAGTTGGGGTTTCTCCGTGATCATTCCTGGTGTTTATTTATTGCTTTCATATAACTGCGGTTTTTTAACATAGGAAAATTGAACTGTTTGATTAACCATCTAGAGATAATTAATAGTGACTGGTTGCTAGTTAATTATTAAGTTTTAATTCTGCATTAACACCTATTCACCCCCCTCCCCCCTCTTAAGGTGTAGTTTGGGTCAAACCTCACAATTTCAACTGCGGTATTCAAACACAGGATAATTGGACTTGTATGCTTAATAATCTAGAAACAAGTAAAAGTGACTTGTTGCTTTTGGCTGATTAATTCCGCACGTAGGGTCAAAACTAAAAAGGGATAAAAAACTACCATTCAATAACTTAAAAGTTGTTAAATTAGTAATCCGTGAACTGTTAAATGGTATCCAGTGCGACACCCGGAATTTTTCACTACACATTCACAAATGGCTCCTAGATCTAAAGAAACCCAGCAAGGAGAAGAAATCAAGAAGGAAGGGGAAACCAAAGAGAAGAAAGGAGGAAATTTCTGATCTTCGAAAGGAGGCTTGTCAACCGGCAAATTATTACTTTGTCTTTCAAGGAGTAATATTTACCGCAATTTATAGTTCCCCAACAAAGCACAAATGTCAATATCGTTGGGTTCCATTAACCCTCTCCTCATTGGCAGGCATTCTAAATTTGTCTGCTTTGTTGGCAGTCGCTGTGATATACAAAAAAATATTGGATGAAAAGGATGTAAAACTGTTAAATGGTAAAACATCTACCAGCAGATATGCAAGTATGTGGCGTCTATTTATGTGGGGTTGCATGCTTCTCTTGTTTGGATTTTTTATTGTAACACTTATTGGAAGCATGATGATTCCTTGTAAAGAAAATGATCCCAAGATTTGTGTCAAGATATGTGAGCAAAAAAATTGTATAATGGTTTGCCAATAGAACTGTCTGCGCCATTGTCTTGGATCCTCCTGTTATATCATTGATGTTCTTCGTTACTAAATATATTTGATTATTCCGTACACCTTTAATATGATATTTTATCGATTGTTGCTCGTTTTAAGGTTGCGGCTATTTTTATCTTTTTTATAGATCTATAGTTGTAAATTACTCCAGTGATAGAGACAAATATCAAGTCTCTTGCATTGAAAAAGATGCCTCCCTTGTTGATGCAATACAAAACGCTATTAGGCTATTTTATTTGCTTTATTTAATAGTTTATAATTCATTTTATCTTTCTAGTATTTACTTTGTCAAATGAGATTTTTGTCCCGTAGGGTTTTATATAGAACTTGTAACTATTTAAACTATCTTGGTGAGTAGTGCATCAGCGCATAGGTGTTGACTGTGTGCTACGC